ACTTGACTCAGTTTCTCTAAGCTTCAATTTCCTCACTGTAAAATGATGGGGTTCATCTCTATAGTCCCTTCCATATCTATGTTCTCATATTTACTATATGAAGAACTAAGAGTCAGGGAAAGATACAAAAATTAAGTAAGAAATGAGCTCTACTCATGAAATTTACAATTCTAGCAAGGGATAAAGTATTAGAAATCACATGTAAAAATTCATAAATTTCTCAAAATTAATCTAATGCACTATAATACCCCACTGACTTTCTTTTAACCTTCAAGGGGGCATCTGATTTAATTATTTATTTTATGGCAATAAAATGAGGTATAGAGGTAAAGGGGATCTTAAAGGCTCTCTAGTCCAACCTTCACATTTTATAGATGAAGAAACGAAGGCCCAGAGAGGCTAAGTAAGTGCCCCATATCACCTTTTTACTATACAACTGTTGTCCCTTATAATGTCCCACATGTGTTAAGTAAGAGACAGAACCAGAATCTGACTCCAGACTATCTGTTCAGGACAGGTGCTTTTGTTATTACACTATACTGCTTCTCCAACTTTTATTATTATCATTATTTTGTTACTTTAGCATTTGCCCTATGAAGGCCTTTTAGTAAATATAGACACTTGTTAGAAAATAACCAATGGTCCCGCCTCCTTCTTTGAGAAACATCAACAAAATCAAAAGTGAAAGTAAGTTATATATAATTTGAAACATATGAATCAAATATTTCATGATAACAGTATCCTTCTGAGCTAGAAATTTATTATAATTTACATTCTACACTGACTCTATCTTATAGTAACTAAACTGGTCGGTAGAAATCAACTGAAACTCAAATTTATTTAGGTAAAAGTCATTTTCTACCTTCAGGTAGTATTTTATTTTTCTTCTTTATTTTAATTTGTATTAGTCATGTGAAAGAAAACACAGATAAGAAAAAAACTCGAGAAAAGTAAAGTTAAAAAGTATGTTTCAACCTGTATTCAGACATCACCAGTTCTTTCTTTGCGGATGGATAGGATTTTTCAACATAAATCCTTCAGAGCTGTCTTATTGCTGAGAACAGCTAAGTCATTTACAGTTGGTCATATTAAAATACTGCTGTTAACTTGTATATAGTACATTTCACTTTGCATCAGCCCAGGTTTTTCTGAGAGCATCCTGCTCATCATTTCTTATAGTACAATAGTATTCCATCATAATCACATAACACAACTTTTCCCCCAATTCTTGGGTATCCCCTCAACTTCTAATTCTTTACCCCTAGAAAAGAGTTGCTATAAATATTTTTGTAGATACAGGTTCTTTTCCTTTTTTTTTAAATCCCTTTTGGGATACAGACCTAGAAGTGGTATCGCTAGGTCAAAGGGTATACATGGTTTTCATATCCCTCTGGGCATAGTTCCAAATTGCTCTACAGAATGGCTCAATCAGTCCACGACTCCACCAACAGTGCATTAAAGCCTCATTTTTCCCACATTTCCTTCAACATTTGTCATTTACCTTATCTGTCCTATAAGTCAATCTAATAGGTATGAGGTAGTACCTCAGAATTGTTTTAATTTGCATTTCTCCAATCAATAGTGAGTTAGAGTATCTTTTCATATGGCTATAGATAGCTTTGATTACTTCATCTGAAAACTGATCATATCTTTTGATCCATTTATAAATTGGGAATGGCTCTTATTTTTATAAATTTGACTCAATTCTCTATATGTTTGAGAAATGCAGTCTTTATCAGAGAAACTTGTTTCAAATTTTTTTTCAGTTACTGTTGCTAACTATATTTCCCTCCATTCTATCTTCCCCTGCTCCATTTATTCCTATTTTCTCTCTCTCCTTTCACCCTGTCCCTCCTCAAAAGTGTTTTGCATTTACTACCCCCTCCTCCAATCTACCCTCCTTTCTATCACCCCTCCTCCCTTCTATTATTCCCTTCCCCTCCTACTTTCCTATAGGGTAAGTAAGATAGATTTTGATACCCAATTGAGTATGTATGTTATTCCCTCTTTGAGCCAACTCTGATTAGAGTAAGGTTCATTCACTCCCCCTCACTCTTTCCCTCCACTACAAAAGCTTTTTATGGCCTCTTTTATGTGAGATAATTTACCCCATTCTACATCTCCCTTTCTTTTTCTCCTAGTACATTCCTCTCTCTCACCCCTTAATTTTATTTTTTATATATCATCCCTTCATATTCAACTCATACATATGCCCTCTCTCTATATATGTTCCTTTCTAACTACACTAAAAATGAGAAAGGTCTTATGAGTTAAAAATATCTTCCCATGTAGGAACGTAAGTAGTTTAAACTTATCAAGTCCCTTATGATTTCCCTTTCCTGTTTAACTTTTTATGCTTCTCTTGAGTCTTGGATTTGAAAGTCAAATTTTCTATCAAGAATGCATGAAAGTTCTCTATCATATTGAATGTCTATTTTTTTCCCCTAAAGGATTATACTCAGTTTTCCTGGGTGGGTGATTCTTGGTTGTAATTCTAGGTCCTTTGCCCTCCAGAATATCATATTCCAAGCCTTCCAATCCTTTAATATAGAAGCTGCTAGATCTTGTGTTATGCTGACTATGGCTCCACCATACTTGAATTGTTTCTTTCTGGATGCTTGCAATATTTTCTCCTTGACCTGGGAACTCTGGAATTTGGCTATAATATTCCTGGCAGTTTTCATTTTGGTATCTCTTTCAGGAGCTCATCAGTGGATTCTTTCAATTTCTATTTAACCTCTAGTTCTAGAATATTAGGGCAGTTTTCCTTCATAATTTATTGAAAGATGATGTCTAGGCTCTTTTTTTGATCATGGCTTTCAGGTAGTTCAATAATTTTCCAATTATCTCTCCTAGATCCATTTTCCAATTCAGCTGGTTTTCCAATGAGATATTTTCCACTGTGTTCTGGTTTTTCATTCTTTTGGTTTTGTTTTATTGTTTCTTGATTTCTCATAGTCATTAACTTCCATTTGCTCCATTCTAATTTTAAGGAATTATTTTCTTCAGGGAGCTTTTGAACCTCTTTTTCCATTTGGCCAATTCTGCTTTTTAAGGCATTCTTCTTCTCATTGGCTTTTTGGACCTCTTTTACCATTTGGCCTTGTCTGTTTTTTCAAGGTGTTATTTTCTTCAGTATTTTTTGGGGTCTCCTTTACCAAGCTGTTGACTTGTTTTTCATGATTTTCTTGTATCACTCTCATTTCTCTTCCCAATTTTTTCTCTACCTCTCTTACTTGCTTCTCAAAACCATTTTGATCTCTTCTATGAGCTAAGTGAGACCAATTTATATTTTTCTTGGAGGCTTTGGATGTAGGAGCTTTGACTTTATTGTCTTCTTCTGAGTGTGTGTTTCAATCTTCCTTGTCCCTATGGTAACTTTCACTAGTCAGAGTCTTTTTCCATTGGTTGCTCATTTTCCCAGCTTATTAGCTGACTTTTAAGTCTTTGTTAAAGTACGGCTCCACTTCCAGTGTGGAAGGTGAACTGCCCTAACCTTCAGGGGTTTTATGCAGCTGTTTTCAGGGATACTTCTAGGGACCTTCAAGTTTTCAGTTCTTCCAAATTGGTATGATCTAAGGTGAGGTGTTTAACTCCTCTCCTGGCCTGTGCTCTGGTCTGTGAGTGACCACAAGCACTCTTTACTGCTCTGCAGTTGCAAGGTCTGCTGTACTAGTGCTCCTCCTCACCCAGGATTTGGATACAAGTACGGGCAAAGTGACAGAGTCTTGCCTCAGTGCTAGCAAAAAGACCCCTATACTCTCCTTCTGACCAGTTAACTGTTCAACCTCCTTACTGTCTGTGGGCTGAGCGCTCCTGAAGCAGCTGCTGCCTGATTTAGTCACTGCCAAGGCATGTTCCTGGTTTGCTGTGGCCTGGGCTGTGTTGGTGCAGCCTGTGCTGGACTACACTCTACTTTCACCCAGGTGTTACAGATCTTTCCTGATGACCTTTTAAGTTGTGTTTGGTGTCTGTAGGTTAAGAGGTCTGGAAATCACCATTGCTGCAAGTGATTCAGTCTCCCTGAGGCCTGCTCCAGGTTTGCTGGGGCCTGGTCTGCAATGGCGCAGCCTGTGCTGGACTGCACTCTTCTCTAACCCTGGTGCAACATACCTTTCCTGCCAACCTTCCAAGTTGTCTTGGGCTGGAACATTGTTTCACTCCATCTTTTTGTGAGTTCTACTGCTCTAGAATTTGTTTAGAGTCATTTTTTAAAGGCATTTGGAAGGGTTTGAGAGAGAGCTCAGATGAGTCTCTGCCTTACCTCACCATCTTGGCTCTGCTTCCCCAAACAGTACTTTAGTACTATTTCTGTGACAGTTAAGTCAAGTCAATAAGTATTTATTAAATGCCTATTATGTGCCAGGCATTGTACTAATACTAATACAAAGGAAGGCAAAAACCAAACCAAAATAAACAAACAAAAAGTCTCTGCTTTCAAGGAACTCACAGTCTAATCAGAAAAAAAAAAAAAACCAGGCAAACAGCTATGGATGAATAAAATATATCTAGGATAAACTGAAGATAGCTTTCTTATAGATGTTGGGATTTTAACTGAAACTTGAAAGAAGCCAGTGAAAATGTATAAAGAAAGGAGATGGCATGCTATATGTGAGGAGCAGCAAGGAGGCCAGTGTTAACTATATTGTCGAGTTCACATAGGAGAATAAGGTGCAAGAACTTCTGCAAAGCAATTTCAAAGAAACTGCTATAACAATACTTAGTTTACAACGAAAAAATATTATTTAACCTAGTGTTGGACTCTAAACTTTTTTTATCACGTACCCTTACAAATAAAAAAAAGTAAGCACCTATACCTCATATGTGTATGCTTTAAAAATCATACATATATATATGTATATATGTATATATATATATGTATATATATATATTATAGTAATCTGGTACTAAAAGCAATCCACAAAAAAAATTCTCAAATGAATCAACTTCTTTTCTATTTATAAACATACTGATAACTTTAACATATATACAATACTTACTTCATCAGCAAGGAATTCCTTACTTAGACCAAAATCTGTCAGCACCACATGGCCATTATTATCAAGTAGAATATTCTCTAGTTTAATGTCACGGTATATAATACCCAACTGTGAAAATAAGCAAATAAAAATTTAAAATAACAATTTCTTAAAAATAATAATAAAAATTCTTAGATGTCATTTAAAAAAAAAATCATCATTCCATTGCTCAAGAATTCACAGTAGTTTCCTATCACCAATCAGACTGATTCTAAGCTCTTAAGAAAGTCTATCATATAAGGTTCTCTACCAGCTTTCCTTTTCCTAACTACCCAATGTAATTTCTCCTTATTCCCTATTTTGACCTTTCAATCTAGCAAGACCAATTTTCTTACCTTTATCTACTTTCATCATATTTGTCCCTGCTTTAATGCCTCAGCTAATGTTGTTCCACAGTAGGAAAAACCTCCACTTTCTCCAAAGTGAGGTCTTCCTTGAATACACCCTTTTAAGAAGCCTTTCCTGACTAAACAACCCACAAAGTACATTTCTTTACTTAGTATTTCACACCACTTATATATAATTTGTACTACATTTATTTATAAATCACACCTCCTTCACTTTTTTCCTGTATGTTTATTTGACAGTTAAATTGTAGATTTTTTGATTTTCCATTTATTTTGTTTTCAGTGTCTAGTAAAGTGCTATGTATGCAACAGGAAATTAAAAATGTCTTTTAAATGAACTCATTTCTAAATTTAAATATCTAAAATAATTTCACTTTAGTTAGTCCTTAGGGTTTAAACAGCTAAAGCAAACCAATTCAATATTTTATAATGATTTCATTCTGTGTACAACCACTGATGAACAAACTGCAAATAGCTGCCTCATCATCTCTTACAGAAGCTACATCATTGACACTTTCTCAGTGTAAGTCTCATATTCAGTCTTAAAATGTATTCCTGGCCTAAAATAAATGTTTTAAGCAAAAGAAACCTATTTTCACCAATATCAAGGGTATGAAATCTTTGATAATCTCTTAAAAGATAAATAAATTTAAATATAGGAAATACAAGACAATTACTTCCAAGAAGCAACTTTTTCCGCTTGATAAGGTATGAGGAAATATATATCAATCAATTTGATTTATATATCTAAGTCATAGGATGAGTGCCATTCAAAGAATGCTGATTTCAAAGAAAAGTATGGCACATCATGATAACTGAGGGAGAAATAAAATAAATATATGTTAATATTAGGATGAGATAAAAATTTCTAGGTTTTCAAGTTATTTTACTGAACATTAGAAAACACATTTAGCAATAAACAATTTTACCCTGTCATCCCCTCCTATCCCACCCCAAATGTCTCTTTTGGAAGAGGGAGTTCAAAAACAACAGGAACAAAGAAATAAGCTTTTCCACCATGATGCATTTAAATCTTTTTATAGGCAAATTTTTTACCCTAGAGTCTAGTGATATAACTAATTCTTTTGCTTTATCTGTTTAGACATAAGTACTGGAAATATTTATATTCAATATTTAAAATTTAAATTTAATATTTAAAGCGTGTTAGATTGGCAGTCATTTAGTAATCACCTTTACATATATGGTATTTACTCGACACTATGAAGAGGCAGCTAAGTGGATCAGAGGATAGAATGCTAGACCTGGAGTCAGGAAGACCTGAGCTTAAATCTGGCCTCAGACACTTACTAGCTGTGTGACCCTAGGCAACTCACTTAAGTCTCAGTTTGCCTTAATCCACTGGAGAAGGAAATGGCAAACCATTCCGGCATCCTAGCTAAAAAATCCCCATAGACAATCTTGGCATATCCAGGGGATCATGAAGAGTTAGACACAACTAAACAACTGAACAACAAATGGGAACATAAAAAGAAATTAGAAAACAAGTATCTAAATTTGCACAGGTTTATGTACCCACTGACCCTCTCCCTTGAACACCTCTTGCTAATCTATTACTATTCTCTGTCTCTCATTCCCAATCCGTGTCAGCAGTCATGTGAAGATGATCTGTTGGACCAGGAACAATTCTCAAATTTTTGATTGGTAAAGTCCTTGCAGCAAAACAGTTTTAGATGGTATCAACTACAATGAAATAATACCAATTATCAAAAAGCTAAATTTTAAAAATTATGTATTTTCAGAAAAATTTTAGTTTAAATTTAATAATACTTAAGTGAGAGAGATGGGATTGTTTGATATCATAAATGAATAATACTGAATATGACATCTCATCTTGTAAGATTTTTCACAATAATTTTTATTTTCCTCTATTTATATAAGAGTATTTGGCAGATCATTTCAGTTGATGCCAGAGAACTTTCAAAAAAGATGTTTTATTTGTAAATGCCTTATTAACTTTGCCCAAACCATGAAACAACTTTTAAAAATTTAGTAACATAACACACTGCACACTGAGATAAGCAGACTTAAACCTGAAAGTCTTGTTTGGCTTTTAAAGCTCTTCACAATCTGGTTCCATCCTACCTTTTCAATCTTCTTACACTTCACTCCTCTCCACATACTTTGAGAGAGAGAACACAGAGTTGCTTGTATATTGTATCACCTATTAGAATCGAGCTTTTTGAGAGCATGGACCATGTTCTGGACTTTCTTTTTCTGCATACCCAGCACTTAGTAGCTGGCATATAGTAAGAGCTTAATGCTACTTAATGTTGTTGCTGCTGCTGCTGCTGCTGCTGCTGCTGTTTACTGATGATGATATTTATTATCATGTTTGTTTTTCATTTGTATTTAGGACTTGATATTCAGGGGAGGCTTGTAGATACTTAACGTCATGTTTTTAATGAACATTTTTGCCTTCTTATCTCTTCAAATCTTTCAATTTTCCCTAATTATGAATAAGGAGAATTGGTTAGTCAGTCAACAATCACTTATTAAGCTCTTATTATGTGCCAGTCACTAAGTGCTGGAGATAAAAAAAAAAAAATGGCAAAAGCATGGTCTCTGACCTCAAGGGGCTCATATTCTAATGAAGGAGACACATGCAACATGTATATGTGTGTGTATATCATATTTGTATGTATGTATGCAGGCATGTATGTATGTAAAGACATAGTACAAATGGAAGGTACTTAGAGGGAAAGCAGAGGGGGCACCAAAAAAACCCATTACCGATGATGGGACTTGAGCTAAGACTTAAAGTAAGCAGGGAAGTCAGGAGGTAAAGGTAAGGAGGGAACAATCTTCTAAGCAAATAAAAGGCAAAGAGTCCAGATATGGAGCATCTTATGGAAGGAACAGCAAGAAGGGCAGTGACACTGGATTGTAGAACACATGGATGAAGAATAGATTATATGAAGGCTGGAAAGGAAGGAACAGACCAATTTGTGAAGAGCTTTAAATGAAAAACAAAACATTTCATATTTGAACCTATAGGGCATAAACATGGTTGGACTGGCACTTTAAAAAAATAATTTTGGCAGCTGAGGGAAGGGTGGATCAGAGTGGGGAGAAAAAGAAGACTTTGTATTAATCTGGCCAAGAGGTAATAAGAGCCTGCACCCGTAAGGTGGTTGTATAAGTGGAGAGAATGGGACAGGATATATAGGAGAGATGTCATGAAGGTAGAAATGACAAGACTTGACAATAGATTGGATCTGTGGAGCGAGTGCAAGAAAGGAGTGAAGAATAACATCAGTGTTGCAACCCTGAGTGATTGAGAGGATGGCAATGTCCTTAACAACAACAGGGAAGTTCAGAAGAGTGGAAGGAAGAATGATTTCTGTTTAGGATAAATTTGAGTTTAAAATGTCTAAGCACTGGCATAAGATTATTTATGTAAAAAAAAAAACAAACCCTAACCATAATTTATTAAGTGATTACTATGTGCCAGGCATATGCATATGTACATTTGTATGTGCAGCAATATATACAAATATAATATTTATACAAATATATACATAATTATAGATACATAATTTTGTACCTATAATTTTACCCACAATCTGCCAGGACAACCAATTGATACTCAATATTATTGAACACATTAAATGAATGATAGCCTGAGCAAATTTTTTGGTTGCATGATCGACTGACTTCAAACTCCTTAGCAACATGTGAATGACATTGTTTGTCACTGATAGAGATAGTAAAGCAGGTGGGTTTTAAACCAGTCATTATTGTAGTATACATTTATATACTTTTTCTTTCACAAAGGCAATTGATGTTTTCATCTAAGCTAAAAAGCACTCAATTTTTAATATATTCCTTCTGCCTCTTACTCTTATTACACTGCTTTTGGTGATTTCATTATGGTTCATAGAAAACAAAAGATCACATTTGTGTTCCTAAGCATGAAACTTTCGACATTTCTTTTAACTGGCTCCTGGTTCTAATTCCGTTAATATACAACAATGTCTAAATAAACTTATAAGCAAGAAAAATAGAATTAAGCACAATTATAAAAATACAGCCATAATATTTATGTTTCTGTGTGGCAAGTTTTGTTTTAAACTTACGGCTCTCATAAATTATGCTGGTAGTTTTATAAGTAGATTTTTAAAAAATCTTCATATTCCTCTGGCAATTTCAATACATCCGGTTATACCTAAGGTACTTAACTAATAATATGGTTCCCACATATAATACCAATTCAGTAGGTCAGAAACACTTCTTAAATCTAAGTCAGAAATATGAAGATTGTAACTAAAATGTCTTAAATCTAGATAAATGATATTTTCAATAAGATATGAAAGACTTTTACACTGATTTTTTGCAGCATGAATTACAAATTATAGACTAGAACTGAATATTTAACAGCTGAGATAAGTCTACATAGGGGTAAGGTAATGAGACAAAGAAAGTCAAAGACTAAAAAATTAGAATGGAAATAGAGGAAATTGAGTATAGGAGACTCTCAACCAATAAGAATAAAGTAATTCTTTCTCCTTAACCCAGTTAGTGTTTTCTCAGATATGGAAGAAAGCTTAGCTTGGGAAATACATAATAGGAATTATGGTTCCATGTTAAATAGGATGTTTTCTATGTTATACTTTTTGTTTTCTTTACTGAAAAATAAAAATCATAGGGCTACTCTGTCTAATATGGTAGGTGGGGAGGAAGGGAAGGGAGGTAGAAGTTAGGAAACCATTGTTTCTAACTCCTAAGTAAAACAGAAAAGTTCCTTAGAAACTACTTCTTAGTTTGATGCACAGGTAATACACTAGGGAAGAGAATGAAAAAATACTTTTACAATTAATGAAACTAGTAATACACTTAAGAAATATGCTCAACATGTGTCTAAAATATAGAAACAATACGAGAGCTACTTTGAAAAAGAAGCTAGGGAGGTTAAATAGCTTACCTTATGGAGGTGTTCAAGGGCAAGCACAATTTCCCCAATATATATCTGCACTTCATTTTCCGTGAAACGTTCTCTTTGAGAAAGGTGAGTAAAAAGTTCTCCACCATTTATGTAATCTAAAAAAAAACCATGTATTTTTTTTATTCTTTAGCTCACGTTCAAAAAGTAAAGGGAATGTTTCTTTTTATGCTGCTCTTGATTAAGGACAATGCAGAGACTGTACTTATTTATTCTTATATTTCAATTTTTTTTTTAACATTTGAAACTACCATGTTATAAGCACACTCACATATAACAAAGTAAATCTGAATAATTTAAATAGGAGGTTTTGATAAAAATTACCTCATGCCAGTAACCAGTATTTGCCAAATAAGTAGGAACCAATTTTTTTTAAAAATTGACATTTTAATTTGAACTAATAAGTAAAATACATATATTTATTAATGACAGCCTGGTGTAATGGATAGAAAGCTGGCCTTAGAGTCAGAAAGATAGGGGTTCAAGCCTCATCTCTCATACATATTGACAGTGTTACCTCGAGCAAATAATTCCACCTTTGAGCCATAGGCAACTAAGACTATGTTTTGAAAGGAGGTGCCAACTTGCACTGATAGAAGGAGTTCCTTCAAAGAGGTCCAGGAAAACAAACAAACAAACAAACAAAAAACCCACGTACTCACATTTATAAATCATTCCAAAAGGACATAAAATTCATTGTAGTTAATGTGCAGGAGCAGCATATCTCACCGGAAAGTACTAAATCATCACTACAACTATGATAAACCAATACTGTTTCTTCTTAAGTAACAGTACTCAAGTTACTCTATTTTTTTTTTTAATCCTTAGATCTCTTTCTCTCTGACTATATACACATACATAAACATGTGACTATATGTATATGTGACTACACACACACACATAACACAGTATCTTTAAGGTTTTAGTACAGTTTTAACCTATGAAAGCTTTTTTTAAGGGACTCCCTATATATATGCACATGCATGCACACATATATATTTCTTTTTTTTTGCAGTTTAAATAATATTTATTTGATATTATTAAATAAATGCAACTAATGCAATTCTTGGAAGAAAATTAATATCTAAGAATATTTACAGTAAGAAAAGATTATTTAGCATGTAACAGGTACAGGCAAAGCAAGAGAATCTTGCCTCAGTGCCAGCAAAGAGATCCCTGCAATCCCCCTCTTATCAGCCACTCAATTCCCCCTCAGTGTGTGAGCCAGAAGCTCTGGAAATAGCCACTGCCCTGAAGCTGCAGCTGGGACTGGGACTGGGACTGAGCTTTGCCCTCACTGTGGTCATAGACCTTTCCTACTGACCTTCTAAGTTGTCTTTGGTGTTTGTGGGTTGAGAAGTCCGGAAACCACCCCAGCTGTCCGTGAGTCAGTCCTCTGAGGCCTGCTCTCGGTTCGCTGAGGCCTGGTCTTTGCCTGCGCCCCCATGCTAATGTTCCTCTGTCAGGCTAGCGCAATAGACCTTTCCAATCAACCATCCAGACTGTCTTGGGCTAGAAATTTGTTTCACTCTGTCTTTCTGTGGGTTCTGCTGCTCTAGAATTTGTTTAGAGCCATTTTTTTACAGGTATTTGGAAGGGTTTGGAGAACAGCTCAAGCAAGTCACTGCTTTCACTCCGCCATCTTGCCACATATATTATTTCACAGAAGAAATTAAGAATATGTATTATATAATGAAAAAAATACAACAAAAACAAAACAAAAAAAAAGGTTTCTTCAGCGGGGGACCCCTTGATTAGTTTAGAAAAGTTACTCTGTACACATATATGTAGAGAATGGTAGTTTATCTGAAATTAGGAGATCTAATTTCACCTATACTCTTCCCTTGGGTCACACCACAAGGTGAAAAATGTAATGAAGAAAATGCATCCTCTCATTCTACCCAAAGCCCTCCCCCAACACATAAAACACTAGAGTAAAAAGAAACAAGGCATGCAACTAGTATGTTCTCAAAGATGAAGAAAATTATGTTTATAAAACACATTTATTCTCCTATAACTTTCTGCCAGGCATAGTGAATCTGGAAGTAAACAAGGACTAGATTTTTGAAGAACTGGGTTCAAGCCCTGCTACTGAAACAAACAGGCCTTGTGTCCTTGTCTGGCCAGTAACCAACTTCTCATTGTACTGGGCAATTCTGTAAGTTATGTTTCCTTACCCATATTCCTACACCAAGGAACAACAGGTCCAGACGAAGAATAACCCCATACTCCTAAAGCCCTCCATAGACTTGAAAACAGCTCAGTGCTCCTGAATAACTGACATCCAAAATGAGGCATTCCCAAAATGGGAAGAGATTCCTAAACTTGCAGTGCCCTAACATTATTTTTATAAAAATTTATAAAAATAACACTTCAACTCGAATAAATATTTGGAATATTGGTAATAAAATTTAAATTGTTTTTTAAAAAAGTCTAGTAAGGAAATAACTGAAAGAGCAGAACCAGGAGAACATTACACACAGTAACAGCCACACTGTGTGATAATCAACTATGATAGACTAAGCTCTTCTCAGCAATACAATGATCTAAGACAATTCCAAAAGACGATGGAAAAAGGTATCCACATCCAGAAAAGAACTATGGAGTCTGAATGCAGATTGAAGCATACATATTATTTGCTCTCTCTCTCTTTTTTGTTTCTTCTTTCTTGTGGTTCCTCCCATTAGTTCTAATTCTTCTTTACAACATGACTAATGTGAAAATAAGTTTAATGTGAATGTATATATATAGAGCCTATATCAGATTGCATGCTGTCCTGGGGAGGAGGAAAAGGGAGGGAGGGGGAAAAAACTTAGAACTCAAAATCTTATAGAAGTGAATGCTGAAAACTAAAAATAAATAAATAATTTTTTTTTAAAAAGAAAAAATAGTCAGCAATGTATAAGTAGTTACAAAACTTTTCACCTGATAATCCTAGAAGTGTTTCTCCTACATGATCTATGACATATGCTTCTACATTCTGAACAAAGACTAGAATAAGACTTCAGAACTAGAAGAGAACTTAAAGATCAACAAGTTCCTAGCATTTTACAGATTAAAAAAAAGCCAGAGGCACAGAGAGGTGGAACAACTTGTTTAACAGACAATCGTCAGTTACAGAGGCAGGATCAGAACCACATCTTCCAGAAGAAGTTATGAAGCATAGAATGTTTTGTTCTTTAAATGTTTACTAGGATTTTTTTCCTAGTAAATTTTCCTAGTAACAAATTTACTAGGAAATCAATCTGGACCACGGTTTTACTCTTTGCTTTTATATTTCATTTGGAAATTACTTTATATTTTGAAGATAGTCATCTATTTTACTTAACTTTTCAGTTCTGTTGCCATATAATTGGGCACAGTAGTTTCCAATAATTTTCTTTATTTCCTCTCCACTTATAAGGAATGCCTACTTTTCATTTTTTAAGTCATGGTAATTTGGTTTTTCTCTCTCTTTTCAGGGGAATCAAATTAGCTAATATTTTATTAATTTTGTTAGTCTTAAAATAACATAGTCTTTTATTTCATTCATCAGAATTGTCTGTTTTTTATTTCATTTTTTTCCTTGATTTTTAAAATTTAGACTTTTAGGCTTGAAGGTTATTTTTTGGCTTTCTCATTTTTAAATTACATGCTAAATAATCTTTTCTTCCTCTAAATATTCTTAGATATTAATTTTCTTCCAAGGATTGCATTACTTGAATAACAAAAATTTTAGTAAGCTATCTCACTCTTACTCTTTTTCCTATAGTTATCTGTTTCAATGATTTGTTCTTTGATCTAATTCCTTATTTGAGAGATAACATCATTCTGTTACTTATAAAGACCTATGTATTTTGTTCATGTTTATTCTATTAGTTACAATTTTCTGTTCATGTCTGTAAAAGGGTGTTTTCTAGGTTAGTGGTTTTTGCTATAACATACTTACATTTTCTTCTATTTGTCCAGTTTTTTTTTGTTTTGTTGTTTGTTTGTTTGCTTCAGGCAATTGGGGTTAAGTGACTTGCCCAGGGTCACACAGCTAGTGTCAAGGGTCTAGTCTGAGGCTGGATTTGAACTCAGGTCCTCCTGACTCAAGGACCGGTGCTCTATCCGCTGCGCCAACTAGCTGTCCCTTTTTTGGTTTTTGTTTTGTTTTGTTTTTGTTTAGGCAATTGGGGTTAAGTGACTTGCCTAGGGTCACACAGCTAGTAAGTGTCAAGTGTTTGGTCTGAGGTCAAATTTGAACTCGTGTCCTCCTGACTTCAGGGCCAGGGCTCTATCCACTGCGCCACCTAGCTGCCCTTTTGTTCAGTCTTTTGACTTTGTTTTAATATTTCTTGTTGTCTCATGGAGTCATTGTTTTTTTACTTGGTCCATTCTAATTTTCAAAGAGTCTTTTGTTTAAGTAAGGTTTAATACCTTTTATAGTAAGCTGTTAATTTTGTTTTCAGTTCTTTCTTTCATAACTCTCATTTCTTTTTCAGTTTTTTTCCTCTGGCATTCCTATTTCATTTACAAAAACACTTTTAAAAAAACTCTTGCTTAATTTTTTTCCAGTTTCAAGTAACCAAAATTATCTGTTTTGTCTTTTATAATTGCCTCTATCTTTTGTTTAGTTAAGAATACATCTCCTACTCATAGCTATGAGAGATATAGGATCTCTTTTCTATTTTTTTTTTTTGATGTGAGACATTTGGGGTTAAGTGACTTGTCCAGGGTCACACAGCTAGTCAAGTGTCTGGTCTGAGACGAGATTTGAAGGCAGATTCTCCTGATTCCAGGGACGTTGTTCTATCCACTGCGCCACCTACCTGCCCCTCTTTTCTATTTTTTTTTTTTTAAGAAATTATGATCTTTAACATTAAGGTCACATATCCACTTAGAATGTGTTGTGGAAAATGGTACAGATCAACAGTCTAAGCTTAATTTCTGCCAGTCTACTTTCTGGTTTTCCCAGCAGTTTTTATCAATAGTTATTCCCCTAGGTAACCTATGCTTTCCACTTTATCAAACAATGAGTTATTGAATTCTATCATTTCTGATTCTCCTTTCTTTAGTTTCTTTCACTGATCTCTAATTTTAATCAATACTAGATGGTTTGGATGACTGCTACTTT